GGAGATTCCTGTCTGACCTCATCTGTCAACCTGTCCATCACCATAGCAAACAAGAAGGGACTCAAAGCCGATCCTTGATGTAGCCCCACCTCCACCTTGAACTCCTTTGTCTGACCTACAGCACATCTCACTACTGCCGTACTCCTCTCATACATATCCTGGACTACTCTGATGCACTTCTCTACCACTCCTGACATCCTCATACAGTACACCTCTCCTCCATTCCTCAGGCATCTTCTCACTCTCTAAAATCCTGTTGAACAAACTAGATAGAAACTCCACTGCTGTCTCTCCTAGACACTTCCACACCTCTACAGGTATGTCATCTGGACCAACAGCCTTTCCACTCTTCATTCTCCTCAGAGCCTTCCTCACCTCATCCTTTCTAATCTTTGCTACTTCCTGCTCTACAATATTCACCTCTTCCCCCCTTCTTTCCCTCTCATTTTCCTCATTCATAAGTTCCTCAAAATACTCCTTCCATCTTCTCTGCACTCTCCTCACTTGTTAGCACCTTTCCATCTCTGGAAACATTCCTCACGAGCTCCTCCTTCAGGATCACTCCTACCCCATTTCTCTTCCTATCCACACCATAATAAAACAGTTTGTATCCCCCTCCAATGCTATGCGCTTTGCTACCCATCCACCTGGTCTCCTACACACACATTATATCTACCTTCCTTCTCTCCATCATGTCCGCCAGCTTTCTACCTTTCCTTGTCATTGTGCCAACGTTGAGTCCCTATTCTCAGACCTATACTCCTGCCTTTCCTCTTCTCTCTTTATCTATGAATCCTTGTACCTCCTCTCCTTTTTCGACCAACAGTAGTCCAATTTCCGCCAGCACCCTGTAGGTCAACAGCACTGGTGGCGGTTGTTGTTAACCCGGGCCTCGAATTCGCACTCATGATTGACATGTTTAAATTTGTTGTTTTTACGCCAGATGCCCTTCCTGACGCAACCCTCTCTATTTATCCAGGCTTGGGACCGGCACAGAAGTCACTGGCTTGCAACCCCTGTGGCTAGATTGTATTATTTTATCCACCCCAGGCTATATATGACTGCAGGCTATATAACAGAAACACATTTTTATTTCTTTTGTTTGCACTGGAACAACACAAAAAGCCAAATCTGATCCATTCCCCACAGAACTACAAAAATGGACTTGACAGAATTATTGACACCTTTTCAAAACTTTCAGAAATTGTTGGCTGTTCTCCGGATCCTCACCGAGCTCAGTGAAACGACTAAACATCAGGTAAGGCTGCAGACAACACAGGATGCTGCCTCAGACTTCTCTGGTGGATTGAACAGCTTAGTTATTAGCTGATGTACCACAATAAATACAGCATTTCAGTTTTCAACATTCACACTTGTAACCAGTTAAAATGGAGAAATGTCGACTCGGGCTTTGTGTTGTGTGGACCACACTGAGCATGGAGAAAAGAAAGAAGGGCAAAGAATTGTCTGAGGATCTGAGACCCACAACAGTGGAAGAGCCTGGGCAGTCTCAAAGCTTCAAGTCCATGTCCAGAGATCTGGCTGTTCCTGTGTCCACTGTGCACACTATGTCAAAACATACCTGAGGAAGCCACAGTCCTTCTGGGAGAATGTCCTGTGGACAGATGAGACTAAAATAGAGCTTTTTGGTCGAGCACATTGTTCTACTGTTTTTAGAAAAAAATGAAATGAGGCCTTCAAAGAAAATAACACAGTCCCTACAGTCAAGCACGGTGGAGGTTCACTGATGTGTTGGGGTTATTTTGCTGCTTCAGCCACTGGATGTCTTGACTGTGTGTGTGGCATTATGAAATCTGAAGACTGCCAATGAATTCTGGGGCATAATGTAGGGCCCAGTGTCAGAAGGTTGGGTCTCTGTCAGAGGTCATGGGTCTTACAGCAGGCCAATGACCCAAAGCAGACTTCACAGAAGTGGCCAGCAATGAGTCCAGATCTAAATCCCATATTATGTACTGGTTATGCAGAAAACCTTATGACTGTAGTATATTCATTTGATGGCATAGATTCCATAGATGGCATACTACTGATCGTGTGCTCTGTAATATAGTATAATACAAAGACAGTTTTATACTGCAAAGCAAAACATTCTGCTGATCAGAGGATCCTATCTATATAGCTTTGATGTGAATGGTCCACTCTTGGTTAACCCTCCTGTTATGTTGACCTGAACAGTATCTTTGTAATATAAACATGCAGGGGGATGTTGCAAATATGTGAATTGAACCATTTTCATTTTATATGTTGATCACACCTATTACGCCAAGCAGACGAAGTTTCATACCAATAAAATATTTTTAACTATTTTTTTTAGATTTTTTTTGTTACTTTGCACTGGGTCAATTTGACCCAGAACATAACAGGAAGGTTAATCATTAAACCTGAGAACCTGATGCCCTTATCATATCATTCCCAGTCACTGTTCATATTTATCTTTTGGTTTCCTGGTACAATCTCCCGTCTTTGCATTTTGAGTTTTAGTGTGTTCACATACATATATGGGTGAAGCATGATAATCCTGGTTTTATCTTTGTGTACATACAACTGAGTTCACCTGTTGATGTTTGGACAGGAACCTGGATAGTTCACTTTTTCAAGAGCGACTTTCAAATTATCTGTATCAGTTGTCAGTGAAACAACTTTTCAAAGCTGCCAAAATCAAAGTCTTTTTAATGATCCTACAAAACTCTTAGATATCGCTGCCTATTTGTAGAGGCATGAATACACCAAAGTAGTATTTTATTTTCTTTTAGTCATATGTGGAGAAATCATCCAGATCTATTGATGAGTGAAGGTTACAGCTTTAGCTGAATAATTATCACCTTCAATTTGCCATTCATTTCAGATTTTTTCAATTCAAAGGGCTGCATGAAAGTTTCAATAAACAATGTCGCCAAAGCGTCAAATCACAATTTATAATTGAATATAACATAATTGGACAATATATACAAGTCAATAAAATTTACTGTTACAATTGCTATAGTAAAAATGTATATTTGATGATGATGATGATGAGGATGATGATGACAAAGTGACATGACTGAAAAGACAAGTGTTTAATATATAGATAAATAGATTTTATGGCCATACGCACATACATGTAAGTTTTCATAGTGTCAGAGGTTATCCTTTTGCCATACTTGGTTGGCTGCCAATCTTCAAGATGTTGAGTCATAGCTAGTATTAACTGGCCTGAGGACAGACGCCAGGGAGAGGACACCGAGGTATGGAACTAAAGATATGTATGCATGAGTGTGGCCTATTGACATAAATCAGGGAATGCTGGTTCCAATCACACGCACTCACGGCTGAGCAGACCAGTATGAGTGCCTCTTTACACACTGCGATTGAATGCTAATGATTGAGGTGTGAAGAGCAGACATTTAACTGTTCACCAGCGGCTGCTATGTGCACACACACCTCCTCACCGCTCACATTTGGAACTTAATTTTAGTACCTTCTCAGGGGTGCTGAAATTTAATTTCAATTTAAATTTTATTTGTATAGTGCCAAATCACAACAAAAGTCATCTCAGGACATTTTACAAAGGTCTAGACCTTATTATTATTATTATAGAGGAAAACCCAACAAATCCCCCTCGAGTAACACTTGGCAACAGCAGGGAGGAAAAACTGCCCTCAGACAGACTCTTGGTGGGCGGCCTTCTGCCTCGACCAGTTGGGGTGAGTGGATAGAGGAGTGAGCTCTATGAGGTCTTTAAGATAGATGGAGCCTTGTCATTAAGGGCTTTGTATATGTTAGTACAAGGATTTTAAATTCTATTCTGGATTTTTTGTGAGCCAGTGGAGAGAAGCTAATAAGAGAGAGATTCTCTCTCGCTAGTTTCTGGTTGCAGCATTTTGGATTAACTCGAGGCTTTTTAGGGACATTTATTGGGACATCCTGATAGTAAAGAGTAAGGTCAGTGAAAACAAACAGAACCCGTGACGAGTGTTACTTGTCATTACATGTTTCAGTAGGTTTCTATAACAGAAAAACCCCTTACTATACTTGGGAGGATTAGCAGCATCTCAATGAGATACTACTTTCCTCAAGACAGTTTCATTGTTCAGCCAAAGAAGTGCTCTGTTGTGCAACAGGAGGCCATCTCAGCAGGCGATAGGTTCCATTTAGCTTAGGAGAGAAGGTAAAATAAAAATCACTGGAATAAGGGGATCTGGTAACTTGACACGAGTTTGCAGCTTTCATTAGTCCCCACCCCCCTAATTGCTACAACTTAAATAATTGTTATTTTCCTAGGATTAATGACATTGTGAAATAATATACATGAATATATGTTCTTTAAATGATTTGCCACCACAAAACTATTATGAAACTGTTTCTGTGGACATTTCAAAATAAGCTGCACTGCTCTGGTTAAAGTCTCTGTTTGCTCTTTGATTTTGGTAGCTTTGTGGCCACCTCCTCATGCTACAATTCTTCTCTCTCTTCATTTGTCACTCTCTCACCCTCCCACTCTGAGTCAATGTCTATATAACATCACTGGCTACAGCGGTCTGCTCCGTCTTCATACACTATGATGAGATTACCCATCCTGGCGCTGCTGTCGTCAGCAGTGCTGCTTTGTGGTGCTGCTCCAGCTTTGGAGCCGGTAACATTCACTGACAATAACAGCACTGCAGCAGCACGTCTGGCAATGCATCACATCAATGAGCATCATAACCATGGCTACAAGTTTCAACTCAGTGAGACCCAGGGCTACAAAGCTGAAAAGGTACTGGCAGGTTCAGTCTCCTTAAATTTCCATTTGGCGAGACTATACATTTCCTTTCGCTATATCCCAGGATGCAATATAGTGTTCTGATCATATTTATCTGACAGCTGGAGTTATAACACTAGTTATTTTGCATATTCCAATTTTATATTCACCATTAGAAAACAACTTTTCAGGAACTCTGACTAACAGCCTCGGGTCAGTGCAGTGACACAGTGTATGTAATATTAAGAGTTTGACACATATCAGCAAGTCTTCTCCTTTTGTTTTTCCTTCTTTCCATTATTCAGTACTTAAGTTCTTTTATATCTTTCCTTTCATACTTTTTCTTTCTGATAAACTGATCCCAAAATATGAAATTTTGTTGATCTACACTTTTCTTATATTGCTACATAAAGACTGGTGATGAGTATTTGTGTTAGCTAATTTTCATGATTGAAAAAACTATAATGTAAATTTGTAATAAGAATACAGTACATTGCAGGCTGTATGTAATGTAATGTAATGGCTAAACCTTTTCCCACTTCCTTCACATCCAGTAGGAACAGAATAAGTAAGAAGCGTGAGTGTACGTGTGTGTGCACAAAAAGACGAACTGGAACTCCAGTCCAGATGTTTCATTTTTATTATCTAGCCTGAAATCTGACAGAAACAATGGAAAATAATGTTTTTTGTTTGTTTTTTTTTACATTTTTGGCATTGTATAACAAGAAAAATATCAGATACTGTACTATGAAGGTGTGGGGACTTGATACCTTAGTAGTTGTGCTTTATGTTCTTACTCTCTTGTGTTACCAGGTTGACGAAGTCAAGTTGATTGAGTTGCAGTTGAACCTTCTGGAGACAAGATGCCATGTTGTGAACCCCAAACACTTTGAGGACTGTGAAACCCGTAGTGAGGGGGAACGGGTAAATACTAAACTGTTTATTTAACCCTGTTCCCCTTTATTAGCCAGAATTCATCTACAGCCAGGAGGTGATGATCTTTTCTGTAAAGGAGATGTGAAGCATCTGTAGTAAAATGTTACTCTTTTTGTTTCACTGTAGGCGGTGAAGGCCAACTGCACCGTTATGATGACGGTAAAAAATGGTGACGCCAAAGTCACCAAATATGAATGCGACACACGACAAGGTGGCTTTTTTTTCTGTTATGTATCCAAAATAATCACCAGAGCAGTTTGTTTTAGATCCAGTGTGAACATTTGCAGTTATTAATTTCTGCAATATCTGCATTGGCAAAGATGGCATGGTTAAGGTTAGGACGAGATATTTGTTTAGGTCAAATAAATCATCATTAAGGTGATGTAACTACCATGTTTTCAGTCTTTGTTAGGGCTAACCATACTGCTGGCTTGGAGAGGTATGCAGACATTAATGGATATTTATTAATTTACACAATACATTGCCCCCTTTTGGGGAAAGAAAAAATAAAAAAAGATTGGCTTGGTGGATATCCCCTATAGTGAAATATATTTTCTGTGTGGAACATTGTTGTACAGTTGGCCATAATTGAGACATACTCAGAATATAGTATTTGTGGGTTTAAGTAATACGACTGAGGAAAAACTTCTAACAATGCTGAACTGCTCAGCTGTCATGGTTTGGATTACTGTTCACCTACTTCAGAGCCCTCACAGATCAGGCTCACTTATGAGATTAATTTTCTGTGTGTAGCAAAAACCAACTTCGAGATGGCGATGATCTGTCCTGACTGTCCTGTGCTGCTCGCACTCAACACCTCTGAAGGTCTCCAGTCTGCTAATGAAGCTGTGAGAAAAATCAACCAGAACACCACCAACAAGCACTACTACATTCTGCAGGAAGTGGGGCGGATACAAGCTGGGGTACACAGAATCCCTCTCTCACAGCCTTCAAGTTTCCTCTTGTTTTGCGTATCGCAGACAGAGGGTGAATTCAGTAACCACAGCACAGCCAAAACTGCATTAATGTCTATACTGTAGCTTTATTTACGAATTCTTGTACATGTTAAATATTAGTACATTTTATCCCCATCCATTTAAGCTCTCATTGTTTTTCCATTTTACTCTCTTTCTCCTCCTCTCACAGTACATTCCGATGAAAGGGATGTACTACTATGTTGAGTTTGCCATTGTGGAGACTCATTGTCCAATGGGATCCAGAATTGTTCCTGAGGCATGCAAGCCCCTTTGCCCTGAGAGAGCTGTAAGTACAACAAATATGCACAGATGCTGAAAATTTCAGATCTGCACATGCTACATGTTGTATTCTGCTGCATTTAAAAGAGAATAGAATATGTATGCAAAGTTTTATTATCTGCTGAAATGCAACTTTAACCAGAAGACATGAGGAGAACAAAAAAAAATTAATGAGTGAGCTCTGGTTACCTCTGGTTCTTTAAAGTTAGCTTGGTGGGTCAAGGCCCCTTGGTTTGGTCTTGTTAGTGGCTTCAAACATACAGACAGGTGAAATAAAACAATAAGCTTAAAGGACACATCTGCTTTTAATCTAGTATATAATATACTAATAGTCAACAATTCCCACAAAAAGTCTACAATGTGTTGGTCTCTCACTACTTTGAACTCCCTACTCAGCACTAATCCCGTTGGTTTTCTCCTGAAGATGAATGTAAACATTTTTAACAATGTCTCACAGATGCAGTGTTTTATTTTTAGAAACAGTCCGCCTCTAAAATTTAATTTTAAATAATGTCATTTTTGTCCAACAGCCTACACTCAAAAACCCATGATGATGAAAAGAAACCATCCTGTTTGCCTTGATTGTCCTGAGGTGTGTCGAGAACGTGACCAGAGTCTGCCTGTAGCAAACTAAAGTGATTTGAGATAGTTTAGAAAAGCAACTCTTTGTAGACCTCTGTGATAAAGTTGTGGTAAGACATAGCTCAGAACAAGAGTATAGAACCTTTTCTCAAGCTCTCTGGGAGGGGGCAGATGAGCCCACAATTTGTCTCCAAACTGTCACGGGTCTGTGTGGGCGGTCGGTCGTAGAAACACATTCCAGAGTCCTCTTACAGTGCTCATTTGAGTTCATTTGAAGGTGGTGGCTAACAGGTGACACCTTTGTCTCCTGTAATTTGGGGTCTGAGGATCAACCTGTGAGTCCATAAGTGAGCACAGGGTTTATCCAATCCACCGAAAATATCACAGGTTCAGGTTCTGGAGCCATAAACACTGAAGCATCTGGTGCTGATGGATAGATTTTATTAACTGGATGGCATTATTTTAATATTTTCCACCCTGAGGTGGATGGGATTGAGTCTGTTCTATATCTCCCAAAATGTTCCTTTGACATCCTTCTCTGCTGCACACTTAGATTCACTACATTCCTCTAAAGCATTTCTCTGTATGTTATATAATGTCTGTGATTTTCGTATTGTTTCCATTTTCTTAATATTGATCTTATGAAGCCCTTTGTGTTTCAAAAAGTACTACAAAAATTATGCTTTTATAATAAATATCCAGTACTGCGATCTCTACCTTAGTATGAAAGTCCTGGAAACAGGCAATTTATTGTGTTCAAGGATGGTAACAGTACGATTTTGAGCATGATGACATTTTGTCTTTTCATTTCTGTGTCCTATTTGCTCTCATGGTCTGTCTCTTCTCTCTCTAAAGCATCATGCTCTCTGCCAGTCAACATATTCCCGTGACGAAGGACTCGTGGCTTTTGAATGTGAATTCTATCCCCCATCGGTGAGCCTAGCTTGTAAACAAATATGTTCACCTAATCTACGCCATTCCAAAACTAACATAGTTGCCTTTCAGTTCTCCTTAATTTCTTATTTATAATGTACATATTTTTTATTTATGCACCCATAATGTGCAAGTCTGAGGTTATATACAGTTGGACCCTTCAAGTAACTCTTTGCCAACTGTCTTCTGAACAGAACACTACTGCTCTTAGCCCTGGTGAGCCGGAACCTGTATGTAGGCACTTTCATCATGGGGGCCATCATCGTCCTCATGGACCCCCTTTCCGTGTGGGTGATCATGGGCATCCTCCCCATGCCGGCCATGAACGCCCCCCAACCGATCCCGGCCAGAGAGGACCCCCACCCCATGTTCAAGAGCACCATCCCCATTCTGGCAATGGAGGATCACACCACCATGCTGGAGGCAAAGGAACCTCACTTGGTCAAGAAAGGCCACACCCCTTTGAACCATTTCATTCCTGCCACAGATTCCTGACTAATACTGACCTAGCTGTCCACCCCATTTGCCCCTG